GTGCTTGAAAGGCCTGGGAAGAACACTGGTGTGACAATCGTCCGACAACGAAAATGGCTGACCCGATCTTATTTTGATTGCTTTATTTTCACCCGATTTCTCAAAAATAAAACATGTATTGTTCAAATTGTTGCATTCGTTACTTGAGTCATGCCATTTTCGAAGTAATTAGGGTATTTTATTTTGATAACTTGCTATAAAAAAGTCGAAATTACGAATTTTCTAGAATGTTTGAAACCGTGGAAGTCAGCAGCTTACACCGGAAATGGCTGACCCGGTCTGTTTTAGATCGCTGTATTTTCGCCCGATTTCTCAAAATAAAAACATCTGTTGTTCAAGCTATTGCGTTTATTAAATAATTTGGGCATTTTAAGTTGATTACATGCTTTAAAAAAAGTCGAAATTCTGAATTTTCTAAACTATTTGGAAACGTGTGATACTAAGTGGAAAACTCATTAACATACAATTAGCATATTCATGACTGTCGCTTCAGTAGTCACGCAGGGAAACTCGCGTGTTTTGCGCGATTTCACGAGTGCTGCCGACAGTACAAATAAACAGATGGTTGTTTATTCGTTAATAGGATTGTGAGATTATTTGGAGGATTATAACCCTGGTTAAAACAAAAGAAATGATGTAGTTGCATGTCCCTCTGTTTTTACATTGTAAGGTCTATGGTTGTACCTAATGCTCTGCTCATACATGTTTGAGACCATAAACAGTCCCCTAAAAACACGTAGACAGTGTTCTCCCCAGGTTGAGAGGCAAGCATGGCGGTCTAATGTACATGCTAATTTGCATACTAATTTGCACTCTCACAAAAACAAACGTACAAGACAGTAATAAATTGTATGAGAGACTTTATTTAAATTACATAATATTTTACATAATATACCATAATTTGACAAGATCGTCATTTAATGTGAACTGTTCCATAAAACTTAGTCTAAACTAATCCTCCTTGACTTTGTTGTGCTCCAAACATTGGCTGCCTTACTGTAGTTAAACTCGTCATAGACGTGCACGGGACTTTGTTCCATAAAGAAGATCCACTCTTTGCAATCATGTTGTGCTTTGAGCATTAACTGCACAACATTCCTAGTGGGAAAAAATGAAAAATAATAAAAAAAAAACAATGAGGATTGAGGTTCAAATAAATGTAAACATAACGATTGAATTGTGCCACGATCGGGAACCCAGTGTCGTATGGATAGCATTTCGTCTGCAAAACCTGTTGTTTACATGTTGGTTTTGTCAGGTCAACGACAAGGAGACTCGGGAATTTCGAGGAAAAAA